TCCCTACACCACCAATTAAGATTTGTTGGAAGTTTCTGCAATCCGATATTTTTCACATATGTAAAAGCACCAAATCTAAAGAATTCATGAAAACTAACATTGTTCAATGGACAACTAAAATTCTTATTGGAGTCATGATCCTACTTCCCTTGTCCTTCCCTTCTGCTGACTTCATCGGCTCTAACCCATCTTTAAAACCAAACACATGCAGAACAAAAGCAGAGGTGGCTTAATCTTAGCCCTTTCTGGGTTATTAGCAGTACAAAAGAAGCTACCATAAATAGATTGTTACAGTTTAGCAACTTCCTGATGGAAGGCTGAAGTACAGGCATCTGCTCCCAGACCAAAATGTCCCTTCAGGTCCCGATTAGCACAGAGCATAAATAGGAATAGAAGAACAGTTACTGGTTATCTTGAAACCAAGAACTTGCAGAAAAGATCCTGGTAATTCTACAGACCTGCTTCACAGCTTCCACTTTCCTACGATGAGAGTCTGGTAGCAGTAGAAAACAAGAATTTAAGTACAAGGCTGGAGGAAGGGGAGGTGTCAGGAGTTAACATTAGCAAAGTGTCTAGATAACATTTCAGTTTTAAGATTAGAGAAACTGCAACTGTGCAGGAAAAATACTGTTGTCATTGACAAGCAGATAAAGCCACAATAATTCGTAGCATATACTTGGTTACAGTAAGAAAGTGAGGCTTCAAACAGCTACATTCCAGGACAAGGAAGAAAGACCTTCTACAATAAAACACATTGTGTTTAAAGTAGTGAAGTTAGTGTTAAGAAATCCTACAGAAACACCCATCACTGCACATAGTTCAAAGATACCTATGTACTCAGAGGCAGGAGCAGGGGAAAAGTGAGAGAAGGAGAAAGAAATAGAAGATCTGGGGTTTTAGCTTTTTCTGGCGTATTAAAAAAGTTAAACTGGTCAAGTTCAATGAAATGGGGGGGGTGTGGTGTGGTGTGTTCCCCCTACAGAACTATGCTTCCACTATGTTCTTCTGAAAGAGTTGTAATAATGAAAAAGCTGATACTGGTCTTTCTTTCATCCAAGTATGTTTGTGTTATAATTAGTGAAAGATAAGTTTAAATTGAGCATTTCCAAATTGGACAGCACAAGGTGTTCAAAAAATCCCATCTTGCTCAAATACATTATTTGTGAGGATAAGGCCCTGAGCAATCTAGTCTAACTAGACCTCCTTTGGGCAGGAGGTGGGACTTTACAAGCTCCATAATATTATGTTATAATTTAAAACAGCAGTTATGGAAGTGATGCAGAAAGGCAAAGAGATGTACCTAGATCCTGATGGTCTGTAAACCACAGTCCCTCAGCACCCTGCATGATTAACTCCTCCTTATCAAAAAGGAAGATGTCTGTTACATAACAGGTTAGGGTGTTCTCAACAGTTAGTTAACATTAATTGTTTTGTACTATCTTCACACATGGTTTATTCTCCTGATTATTTGAGTCCTGAGCTTTCTGTGCAGAAAGTCCATCCGAGCAGCTCTGTATCACAGGTCTCATCCAATCACTAATCTACTTGGCTAACCTTACAAAAAGGCTTGTGATGCATGAGAACGAGAGGGTACCTAAATAAATCTGCTCTACATCTAGCTACAGCACATTGTCAGCACTTCATGCACAAGTATACCTAAACCATCAGATCAAAACCAAACTGCTTCAAGTCTGGGTCAAAAAAAATGGAGCCTAAAAGTAAACTGCCTATATGCTCCATAGGATATTTTCAATGTGTTATAAGCCTCTAATTACCACAGGTTACCTCTTACTGGTATCTTGCCCATCTTACAAAAGACAAAGATCACCGCACCATATTTACACATTATTTTTTAAACAGGCTTTTTGGAGGGAGCTTCTCCCACTCGTATTTCAATTAGAAGTTGTGGCCAAAACACTCAACACAGGAAAACGAAGCAAAACAGTGACATTAAGAGCAGAAGCAAAATGCATCATTCAGGGGTGGGGGAGAAACATCCTTCTTAAATGGAAAACCACTAAATTTTCTAATGACGTGAACAGGATGGCGTTGCATAGGCCAGAACAATAGC